GAATTAATATAACATTTTACTCATGAAAAATCTAATTTCATATTTAACTCTTTTTCAATTTCATTTGAAACAATAATTGGTACCTATATTACAATTTATTATCAAAGAAAATTTCTAATAAAGTTATAGCAAATCCTACTTAAACTACTGGTTGTTCTGCAGGATAAATTAACTTTTCTTGAGATTGATCTCTCTATAAAATCCAAAACCGACCTGATGTCCCCAAATTTATTTTCCAATGCATCCTGATTTAAAATTCTGCCGTTTTGTGATTCAATTTTTTTTTCTTCCTTTAGAGTGGCTGTTAGAGGTAGGTGTATGTAAGAAATAGCTAATCTCTAATCATTTCAAAAGTCCTTTGCCAATACTACATGTGCAGATTTTTTACTCAGCATACATTTAACTTTTCTAGTAGATAGGAACTTTGTGCTGCCATTAAAGCTGTCCAGACATTCATCTACCTACTTAATGAACACAAGTAGCTGTAACAATGGATCTCTGTTCCAATTCACCTAAAATAATTATAGTCATTGTGTAATATATTATTAAACACACACATTATACACACATACATAATAAATTGGAAATTAATTACCTCTAGAAAGAAATGTATACAAAAACGCGAGTTTGGTTCCAGAAATTGCTTCATGCAAAAATAATATGCAAAAATAAACATTCCCCCCCAAATAAAAATAATTAAACAACAAAATCAGACTAAAAGAAATATACGGGGCCCAAATTAAATTAATTTTAATAAAATGCACATGTTCATAACATTCATAACATTGTCAGTTGTCAGTTTTAATACTTTTTAATCGATATTTCGACGTCAAAAAACCAGCAACACCAGCGCCCTCTGAAAATGGTGTTAGTTTTATTGGAGAGAGATAGACTTATGTAAAGATCAATATAAAAGAAAAAGAGGGTCATATATGTAATTTAAATGGACCACCGAACATATTTTCCTATTAAGTTACACGTCTCTGTTGTCTCTGGCTATCCTGAATGCTTTTTAAAAGGAGATAGAAAACTCCGCCATTTTGATCCCTTATTACGTGTTGCCTACATCTTGGCGCAATATTTTTAATAGGTGCGTTTTACGGCCATATGCACCATTGTCCAGCTAAGTCCTCTGTTATCTAACAGTAGTATAAAAAATAACAGTGTGTTAACAGAATTTGCTATGCACCATCTATTTACTAGTTTCAGTAAGAAATCAGTCTGTTGCGTACATATTACTGTCAATATCCTATAAAACCTTATATAGCCCTTCAAAATAAACAAGTAAAATTAAAATAGTCTAATAAGTAAAATTAACAGGCCAAATTTGGTTTGTTAATTAACAACGCCTTTAACAGATTGTTAGTCGTATGTTGTAATGGTGAATACAAAATTGTCAATTTAACAGTCAGTTATGTAGTTAACTCTCTGATAACTATTAACAGAAGAATGGTGCATATGGCCGTTAATCATCAGCTTCTGCTTCGGAATTATCGGTTTTCTTGTTTTAATCTGACAGGTTAAAACGACTAAACCGACAATTCCGGAAGCAGAAGCGGATGATTAAAACGCACCTGATATTTTGCTTGCTGCTGTCAGTGTCAGTGAATATTATTTTTGAAGTCACAGTTTATTGCTAAAGAATCAGTTAGCTCACTCGGACCAGTTGAAAGTTCCAAAATAACATCCACTCCAGGGATACAAATTCAGGATACACAGAAGACTGCTGTTTTATTATAGGCGGTTGTCATATATTGTATTATCCGAGTTGCGCAGTGTATAAACTGGAACATTGAGATCAAAAGTGCCGACGCAGAGTGAGCGATCTGATTCTTTAGCTATTAACTGTGGCATAGGAATCAAAATGGCCGAAACAGGAGCGCATTTCCAGACCCTTCAACTACAACATTACCCGTATTTATATACATAACAAATCAACTAATGTTAATTTAACTTTTATACCATTTGGTTGTGATGTAAAAAGAAATCGTATTCCCCTCGTAACATTTAACATCTAACACATTGAACGCACCCCTGTCAATACATAAATTTTGTTCCATGTGCAGTGCCATCTTTCGTTTAATACGCTCATCAACCTGTAATACTAGATTTCCCAATTTTTCCGCGCTATATAAGGTCTTTTCCTTTGCATTGAAAGTGTAGCACTGAGCTACACCACTTCTGAAAATATCGTTCCATTTATACAAATTGTATGGATGGAACGATATATTCAGAAGTGACGTAGCTCAGTGCTACACTGTGGATGCAAAGGAAAAGACCTATATACAGGATGTCTGTAAAAGGTCTATAAAAACATACCACATACCACATCGATGGATTAGTGCACAAAGGAGTTAAGTGCAATTTTGGGACAAATTGTCTTAAATACATCTACCTACTTATATTTGTACAAATAATTTATCTTTATTTCGCTTTATTATGTAATCAGAAACGACAAAGTGTTGAGAGGGTTTACTAGATATATTTCATGTTAAATAACAGAGAGCTTTAGTTTCAACCCTCTAAACTTAAATTGTGAAATATTTGTAAAATGTTAACATATGTTGTGCGCTAAACCATCGACATATTCCTGCTTGAACCAAAATAAGCCATTTTAAACGTGTCGAGTACGGGTGTGTGGAAAAAAAAATCTTGTCGGAGGACGGGACATTTTTGATTTTTGACACTCATATATTACTCGGATAAAGCCTAAAATATTTATTTTATATTTCAACTAATTTTTTTTAGAGTTTTTGTCAAATATTTTATTTTTTTTTCTGGTTTTAAGTTGGTGCCTCCTTACAGAATATGTCTTATTTTTAAGGCCAACTAATATTTTCTATTATAGACCGTCAGATAGTGACCGATTTAGGTGCCCCATTTTCGCATACAAGCCTCGAAGAGAGAGAGAGTTGAAAAGTACATCGATGTTGAGTAGAATAAAAGAAAATTTACGAGTGGCTCTTAGGGATAACACATGAAAAATTCGATTTTCCTTATCAGAAAAATTTTCCGACCTCAAAATGCACTTATACATTCGGGTCATTCAAGAAAATATGTTTTTCGGACTAGTGACGACGTACGTTTTCATACATTCGATGGGCTTATGTGGAAAAATCAGACAAAATCTCGATTTTTCCTTATTTCAACCCTTTAGCCATTTGCAACATTAAAGCCTTTGGTTTTCCGAAGCCTAGTTCTATTAATTAATCATATAGTGAAAACGGCTTGCGTGGAAATATGGGCAAAAAATAACCTTTCATTTTTGTTAGGGAAAATTGAATGTTCCATGTGTTATCCCCAGGAGCCACTCGTAAATTTCCTTTTATTCTACTCAAAATCGATGTACTTTTCAACCCTCTTCGAGGCTTGTATGCGAAAATTGGGCACTATCTGACGGTCTATTACTATAGATGGCTAAGAGCTAGGTTCCTATATTTGTAGCATTACTATAGCGAGGCATACTATGAAACCACGCCGTCCTTGCTAATTTTCTGACTATGGCAAGTGTGGCATCATATTGATGCGTCGCCGTCTCAAAAAGGACAAGCAGTGATGCATCCGTTAAATGCCACACCATACTCAACGTGTTATGTAAACTTATCTCAGTACAAAGTTGCTCAGTTTGGATGCTAGAGGACTCTCCCGTTACAATTTTAAAATCGTTTCTCAATTATCAATGCCTTATGAAATTCTGCTTAAATTTGGTACCGTCTTCGCCAGAAACCCTCTAATCTAAACTTTAGTATAAATTCAACCTGACGACCCACAGAGCTCACCTACGAAAGGCTAGCAGTATATAAATTGGAAGTAGATATGCAAAAAGGAATCAAGTGACAAAATTCCGAAAATGGGTTTGTATGCATGAAAAGGTGTTGGTTATTTTTTGAATACAAAAGTAAAAGAAAACCTAAATTTTTGAAAACCAATGAAGTGCAATCAGAACTTTTTATTTTTTGTACTGATTTTATTATTTTGCAAAAACTTTATTTCTCATTTTCACAAAACTATATTGTTGCTTGGTTCCTTTTTACATAACCACGTTCAATTATAAGTGAATGAATTTTTCTCTGGTATAAGATCAGATCACTAAACACAAAGTTACAAAGATTATTATAGTAATCATAAAATATTTGTAATTTTTTTAGGGAACATTATGGGCAACACAATTAATAGACCATATTGCAATATTAAATATTGTAATTTAAAACATAAATATAGAATATACAACAAATTGATTGACAACAAAGTAAATGTATTGCAAATTGTATAATAGGGGGTAAGGTAAGCAAGGTATATCCTGTTTTAAAGGAATGGAATATGACATATATCACACATTTATTCAGTTCTAGATGGTAGTTAAAATGAAATACTTGTATACATTTATATACTAGACAAATTTTCTCAAAATATGAATAGAATAGCATATTATATACTTTTTAATTTAAATGCATTTTTTTTATTCAGAAAATTCAGCAGTATTAACATGTCTTGTTTTAAATCATAAAATGAATAGATGTAGTCATGTAAATATTACTTTCTAATTGTAGCAATTCAACTATTATTTATATTCTAGGGATATGCAATTTTTTATAAAATAATTTTCTCATCCTCTCAACTTTATCACATATTTTTTCTTTGTACACTTAAATGGACTAATAGAAATACTAATTTATACAATTATCAAAATTTATCAAATGAATTTGGTAATACCAAAAATTAATATAATGTTTACTTACAAAGATGTTTATAGGTAAATTTCAGATTTAGGGCTATAAAGTCACCCATGAAAACATTTTTATATACGTAATCAGGTAATTTAAATAAACAGCAGTAGTGGCGAATAAACAATGCTACAAGATTTTGCTAGTTTAATGTATAAAAATTTGTTTTTAAAACCCTTTTTTGATTCTATTTTTCTTCCTTTCCTCAGAAAGAACACGATAATAAATATAAACCCCAGGAAACGTCACCATATAAAAACATAAAATTAGCTTAAATCAAAGTTCTGATTTTTGTGGTTCCACAGTAAAGGCTTTAAGAATGTTCCGACGATTTGACAGTTCTCTCTTCTTCTTCTCATTAACTTTTCCTTCAAGAATTTTCTCTAGTCTGGAATCTTCTTGAAGTATAAAGGAGTAGCCATTGTCTATTACCTTTTTCATTACTTTTATGTAGCTGTCTGCAATTTCTTTTTCTTTCTGAAAATAGAAGAATATGGGTTGTTTATCAAATTGTACCAATTGTATATTATAATAATCTTCATATGTTAGGCCAAAGATTCCCCAGTTATTGAATAACCCAATAAAATACCCTTGAAACTAGTTTTTATCAATAAATTGTTTTCTGAAAAATCGGTGGTTTTGTTTCACTTTATTTTAATTACTCTATTAGTTGTAAGTTAATATTTATATTGGATAAAAAAAAAATTATGAATGGAGTTATCAGGTGGATCATCTTATATATCTTGTTTTAGAATGATTTAGGTATTAAGTAAAGTAAGTTAAATTTAGAAAACTAGAAATATTCTGCAAAACAAACAAAAGATTACCTCCAAAGTTAATTTGTTAGCTTCATTTTGAGTCTCCTCTAAAACATCTTCCTTCGCACCTTCAGCAATGAATTTATGAGCTAATTTATCGAACTTCTCAATGCAACCAGGCAAACCTAGATAAATATTTGTATGATCTCTTACGAACTTCTTCAGGTTTTCATTATTCCAAGGCATCTTCTTCTCAAAAGCGAAGGGTTCATCTTCACCTTGTACGAAAAGTCTGAGTGCTGGCAAGTCCTCTTTGGAAAGGATACCGAATTGTTTACCGAAATTTTCATTCTCATGTTGTCCATAATCTTTGATTCCTACTTGTCCTAATACAAAATCTGGAATGCCTACGATTTCACTGGCCAATGAATTGAATATTTCGTGTTTATCACCGTAAGGATAAGCCACGTCAAATTTTACTAATACAGCCTCAAATTTAGGAACTACTTTATCGAAATTGTATTCATCTAGGTTGATACAACCCATGCAACCTTCTGTGGTAGTCGATACCACACTTAAAACTAAACCGAGCACACTGAAAATAACGTAAAACTTGTTCATTTTGGCTTTTGTGGTAAGTTTTATCGACTAAACAAAACGTTATATTCCAAAATACCAAATAAATACCGGTATCCTACTACTTTCCACACTTATCACTTTAATAATAAACAAATCAAATAATGAAACGTCACCTTCCTTTCCACTTCTGTCAGTGTCCCTTGGCCTGGTCTGATTGGTCGACAAAAGGAGAACAAGAAGTGCATGGGCGTGCGGAATAATTTTATAGAAGATACTTCTACTCCATCTTCTACTCTAGTCTGTGAAGAGTTATTATAAGTTTACTTACGAGAAACCAACATTTTTATTATTGATCCGAATTTAAAAATTCTGATATACTAAAATGTTGGTCCGTCCGATGTCACGTTTTTTGTCGCACAATAAGTAAAAAACGAAAAATGATATCAATTTTAAATGTTTAGGAAAAATTAAACTCTATAAGGAGACGAAGCTTATTGATTAAAAAAAATCTAAATAAAGAAGGGGTTAAAATTTAAAAAAATTGAAATCAAAACCGAAAAACGATATAAACTTCAAATTGTCAGGAAAAATCAAGTTCTAGAAGGGGACGAAGCCTATGAATGAAAATAGGTCGTTGAAGGGGTTAAAATTAAAAAAAAATCTACGTAAATCAAAAACAGAAAGCGATATCAACATAAAATTTTCCGTAAAATCAAGATTTATACGGAAATGAAGCCTATTGAGTCTGAAAAAATCTGAATAAAAAGAGGGGGGTTATGTAGAAATGTTAAAAACAAATCTAACTCAAAAACGGTAAAATGATATCAACTTTAAATTTTTAGCAAAAATCAAGCTCAATTAAGGAATGAACCTTATTGATTTTGAAAAAATTCTGAATAAAAATAAGGAGATAAGAGGGGTTGAAATAAAAAAAAAGAATCAAATGAAAAACGAAATGCAATATCAACATAAAATTTTGAGCAAAAATCAAGATCTATAAGGGGACAAAGACGAAGCCTATGTATAAAAATGAGGCGGTTAAGGAGGGTTGAAATTAAAAAAATCTGATGTGTCCAACACATGACTTTCCTATCTAGTTATTATAGGCTTTTTCCGATTATTCTGTACAACCTATTGCAGCACCTCTATAAATGTTTAGAGGATAAACTAAATATATACATTTTCCATATACATCTAACTCGAAACATTTTTCTATAGATATTCATTGAAAACGAAAATATTGAAAAATTTAAATTTAGCACTTTTCCTTCAATACGGTCCATTTTAGAAAAATCGTATAAAAAACAAAAATTATAGAGATCGATATCACAAATAACTTTTATTTAAACAATTTTGCTAAAAATTTGAATTTTATTACATTTTGTCAAATTTCTCGAATACGGACCATTTAAAAAAAAATTGTATAGAACCAAAATTATAGATAATACTATTGTAAGTAATTTTTATATGAACAATTTTCTTCTCCAAACATAAATACCAGATATATTCCATAAAATATAAAAACGGCCTCCCATAAAGTACCCCCCCAAATGTTCCGCCTTTGTCCCAAATTTAATAATTTCACCTCAGGCCGAAATAAAACTTAAGTTTAAAATTTAATGTTTTTTCCTTTATCCGTTTTTGAGTTTTCTTCAAAATTCGAAATTTATACATTTTGTCAAATTTCTCGAATACGGACCATTTTAGGAAAATTTTGTATAAAACAAAAATTATAGATAATAATATTATAAGTAACTTTTATTTGAAGAATTTTCTTCTCCAAACGTAAATAACGGATATATTTCATAAAATATAAAAATTACCACCAATAAAGTACCCCCCAAATGTTCCGACTCTGCCCAAAATCTAATCAGTTCACCGCAGGCTGGAATAAAGTTTAAAATTTGGTGTTTTTCTTTGTATCGGTTCATGAGTTATGGTGGATACAGACACACACACACACACACACACACACACACACACACACACACACACACACACACACACACACACACACACACACACACACACACACACACACACACACACACACACACACACACACACACACACACACACACACACACACACACACACACACACACACACACACACACACACACACACACACACACACACACACACACACACACACACACACACACACACACACACACACACACACACACACACACACACACACACACACACACACACACACACACACACACACACACACACACACACACACACACACACACACACACACACACACACACACACACACACACACACACACACACACACACACACACACACACACACACACACACACACACACACACACACACACACACACACACACACACACACACACACACACACACACACACACACACACACACACACACACACACACACACACACACACACACACACACACACACACACACACACACACACACACACACACACACACACACACACACACACACACACACACACACACACACACACACACACACACACACACACACACACACACACACACACACACACACACACACACACACACACACACACACACACACACACACACACACACACACACACACACACACACACACACACACACACACACACACACACACACACACACACACACACACACACACACACACACACACACACACACACACACACACACACACACACACACACACACACACACACACACACACACACACACACACACACACACACACACACACACACACACACACACACACACACACACACACACACACACACACACACACACACACACACACACACACACACACACACACACACACACACACACACACACACACACACACACACACACACACACACACACACACACACACACACACACACACACACACGGATTCAGGGGACCCCAAAACGTAAAAATCTGTCGAAAACTGGAGGTCGAAAAAAATCATGATTCCTATACTTTCCTTATCTGTAAACAGATAAAAATCGTAATTCAAGAACGAAAAGCGATATGATCATGAAATTTTTAGGAAAAATCAAGCTCAACAAAGAGACAAAGCTTATTGATTTTGAAAAAATCTGAATAAAAATTGGGGGGGGGGGGGGGTTAAGGGTTGAAATATAAAAAAAATCATAAATCAAAAACGATATCAATTTGAAATCTTCATGAAAAATCAAGCTTTATAAGGGGAGAAAGCCCAGGGCCCCCGCAAGGGTTATTGCCGCCCGCGTGTCGGAAATATTTTGGCGCCCTTTGAATATATGTAGTACTTATATAAATAATATTTTGAAGAATAACAACTTTAAGCTGTTACATATGTTTTTTAAATTTCCTGGTTTGCTGTAATATTTTTGTAGTCGTTTAACATTTAAGCGAATTACGAAACCACATTTTATTTTAATTTTGTAATGAAACAACAGATATTTCAAAAACCAACATTTTATTCTTATAAACGAAAAAACAAACCAAACAGTAAACAAATAAAACATTCAAATTTAATTACAACACAATTAACACAAAATATAAAGAACTCCGTCGAATATTTATAACTATAACTTTGCGTCTTGGGTTTTGACCTTCACGTAGCCGAAGAAAATATTAACTATTTGGATTACTACGCCTCCTGCAGTTTTATTTATACTCGTGGTCTCGTGGTTCGTAGATCAGTCTTCAAGTCTGGACAGGAAAAATCGACAAGATCTAATATGAAACTTACTCGTCGTTCGTACAGTATTCGAGTCTGGATAGGAAAAATCGACAAGTTTATACTTTATACGGGTATTCATGGTATTGCATGTTGCACACAGAATTAACTAACCTATTGATTTTATTATATTTAATAATTAACGCTAATTGAATAGCTATTTGATTTTAAAAATAGATGTTTTCTGTCACAATAGGAATAGGTCGTTATATCAACGAACATAAACTTCGATTACATTATTGATTATATTATCATGAATTGAGATAAAAACATTTTTGATTTCTTTAGTGGCTTAGTGCCTTGTTCATTGGAATCGTTAGAAAAATTAAAAATTCGAATTGTATACAGACCTCCGGTTTGGCGCCCCTTTAGAGGTGCGCCCGCGTGCGGTGCACCCGTTGCACGCGCAGTTGCGGGGGCCCTAATAAAGCCTATTGATTCTGAAAAATTCTGATTAAAAATGGGGAGTTAAGGGGGTCTGTTAAACTATAAAGAGCATAATATAGAATGCCAAGCAATATAAATGTCTTCATTCAGTTAACTTTTTATTTACTGCTTTTTAATTTTTTTTCTGAAGCCTAAAAAAGTATATTTTTGTACTAAATTAAAAGTACATATTTTTTATGATCTAAAACGGATTTTGCTTTAATGGGATTTAAATATTTTGACGTTATTACGATGTTATTTAAATTAGTCCACAAAGTTTTAAAAAATCTGTCATCTTAACTCTTCTGGGAAGGAAACATAATAAAAATAATAATAATAACTAATTAATTTAATTTAATAACAAAATTAATTTTATTTCTCTTTCTTGTAAAGTTGTATTTGTCTTTCCTCAGCTTCCAGGAAATCTTTCAACGATCTTATAAATTCTTTGGTATCTTCACTCATTTCTTCTAAACTTTTTAATTCCCCGCCAAAAGTGCAAGGCATACAAGACGCTGGAATGTGGTTTTCGAAAAAGTCTTGCATGTTTGTCTCAGGTGGGTGGGTTATTATCTGAAAAACGTATTAAGTAGGTTATTTGCAAAGAGCAAATCAACAAGTACAAACAAGTTTCACTTTTAATGTTTTTTATCATTTTACCAGATCGTAAAGTTCTTTCTTCATGAACGGTTTAGAAATTGCGAGTATTTTTTCAAATATATAGGTTGCGTTCAGAATATGAACTTTTCTCAATTGAGTTGGTAGTGCTTCTTGCAGATACGCGAAAAACTTCTTTAAAGGTCCCAATTTCAATCTCGTCAAGTGCATGATTCCAACCTAAAAATTACGAAGTTATTACATCGGAGATACTGAGAATATCAGTTTTGTCAATTTTCTGTTTTTTTGTTGATGAAAGAAAAAACGTGCCAAAAATTAACACAAAACAATAATAATGAATGTGTTGGAGTGAGTAGTCAATGGCACTCGCACATGCAGGAAAAGAAGAGACACAGGTTTGATATTGCCAGGATAGCACAGGGTGTCCCAATGAAAAGTAGCCCATTTCCAGAGCCATTTCCAGAGCTTATAACTTTTAAACACCTAATCGTAGAGACGTGCAGTTTTTGCTGATATATGTTATTTTGCTATAAGTTTTGCTTCAGTGACACAGAAATTATGTATTACCTATACAGGGTGTTTTTTAAAAATCTCCTCTTTTAAATTCACCGTAACCAAATTTTATCAAATGGAACACACAGTATATGTTTAGGTCATCTGAAAGATACACGCTTCTACTTTTTAAAAATGTATAATTTGTACATGGTATTTTACAAAATAAATTTGATAAAATTTGGTTACGGCGAATTTAAATGAGGAGATTTTTAAAAAACAGTAATATTTTATGTCACTAAACCAAAACTTATAGCAAAATAACACATATCAGCGAAAACCGCACGTTTCTACGATTAAGCGCTTAAAAGTTATAAGCTCTGGAAACGGGCTACTTTTCATTGGGACACCCTGTATAACAACGATATGGGCCTGTAATTATTATTATCAATATGAATAGGACCTTGGACTAGACGAAATTAGTACGTACCCCTTTGATATCAATGATAAAAATCAGTCCGTCTGGTGGATTGTCATATAAATAAGCAGAGATTAATGTAAAAGCATTTTTGATTTGTGGTTCTATGCAGAAATTGTAGTAAGTGGTATCTTTTAAACAACCCAAGCCTATGATGTAATTCTCTTTGGTTCTCTTCGGAAACACCGCCATTGTTCTAAAAATGAAGAGAAAATAGTTATTTACGAAACAAAACTGAAGGGAGCAAATTTTGAAGAGCCAGAGGGCGTTAAAGAATTTTCTCATTAAATTCTAAGCATATACTAACTTTAGGTGTTTCTGTAAACTACACTGCATAGTACACGAAAAATAGGAAAGGAAAGGAGTGTTTTCACCTAACGATTAATGAATTAGACTGGACAGCAAAGATAAAAATCTGATGTGTGTAACACATGACTTTCCTATCTAGGCTTTTTCCGGTTGTTTTGTACAACCTATTGTATCACCTCTGTAAATGTTTAGAGGAAACTAAATATACAGGGTGACCCGAAATTAGACGGTCATATTTTAACAGCGTAATCTACATCCTAAAATAGGAATAAAAGTTCATATAAACATAGGTCCGAAAACGTTTCGTTTTCGAGATACAGGGTGTTACAAGTGAAGACCTGTTGGCACATTTTTGTAAATATTTTTTAAAATTTCTTTAGTCACCGGTTTTCCAAAGTAAATAAAAAATAAAATTTCTGATTTCACAGGCCTACTAATTATTGTTTACATTTTCGAATAACTTATCATGAAATTTTCAAATGCTTTTTTCTTGAAAATGGTGCGTCCTAGCGAGATGCAACAATAGTAGCTTTATTATAAAGAAAACATTGGTTTTCCAAATTTTATAGTTAAAAATGTTAAAAACTGCCAACAAAAAAAACTTTGGGGCAATTTTACCCTAAGCCCCCTCTAATTTACCCACCTATGAAGATGATCAAAAACTGGGGTTTAGTCCATTAAATAGAGTGAAAAAAGGTAAGCATTTTTGTCAAATTTCACTTAGTTATCTTTAAACGTTTAGAAAATATTTACAAAAGAGTGTCATCAGGACTTCACTTTTAACACCCTGTATCTCGGAAAAGAAACGTTTTCGGACCTATGTTTATATACACTTTTTCTTTTATTTTAGGATGTAGATTATGCTGTTAAAATATGACCGTCTAATTTCGGGACACCCTGTATACATGTTCTACATACATCTTACTCGAAACAGTTTTTTTATATATATTCATTGCCAACGAAAATAATAAAAAAATTAAATTTTACTTTTCCTCTAATTTTTCCGTTACAGTCTATTTTAGAAAAATCATTTATAAAACAAAAAATATAGGGAATAATATTAGAATTAACTTTTATTTAAATAATTTTCTCCTCCAAACGTAAATAACAGTTATATTCCATAAAATATAAAAATTACCCTTTATAAAGTACCCTCAGATGTTCCGACTCTGCCAAAAATCTAATCAGTTCACACACAAACATACACACACACGCACACACGCACACACGCCCATACGCACACACGTACACACGCACACACGCACACACGTACTCACGCACACACGCACACACGCACACACGCATACACGCACACACGCACACACGCACACACGTTCACACGTACACACGCACACACGCACACACGCACACACGCACACACGCACTCACGCACACACGCACACCGCACCCACGCACACACGCACACACGCACACACGCACACACGCACACACGCACACACGCACACACGCACACACGCACACACGCACACACGCACACACGCACACACGCACACACGCACACACGCACACACGCACACACGCACACACGCACACACGCACACACGCACACACGCACACACGCACACACGAACATACGCACGCACACACGCATACACGCACACACGCACACACGCACACACGCACACACGCACACACGCACACACGCACACACGCACACACGCACACACGCACAGACGCACACACGCACACACGCACACACGCACACACGCACACACGCACACACGCACACACGCACACACGCACACACGCACACACGCACACACGCACACACGCACACACGCACACACGCACACACGCACACACGCACACACGCACACACGCACACACGCACACACGCACACACGCACTCACGCACACCGCACACACGCAAACACGTACACACGCACGCACAAACATCATCGCGAAAATAGTCAAAACAGATTCAGGGGACCCCAAAACGTAAAAATCCGTCAAAAACTCGAAGTCGAAAAAAACCATACTGTACTTTCCTTATATACAGATAGGAAAGTAACAATTCAGTTGCATGGGATGTTTTTGGTAAACTTAATATTTTATAGGGTAAAAATTCTAAAAATAACTTATATTTCTCTTATTCACGTACAGTTTTTGTTGCAAAACATTTTACAATAAAAAAGCACACCAGCGATTAAAAAATCAATATTTTTTTTACAATGAAATTGCATGATTTTTCATATATTTGAAAAATAAAAAAATACTATTTATGACATATTTAACACTACATGTTTACTATTTTTATCTGAGACACCTTCTGTATCTGTATCGTGTGGAGGGTGTGTTACCCCACGGCACTTTAGGCCTCACTGGGCCCATTGTGCAACCTCCTAATATGATAGGACCTCCTAGCTCGTGAGTCAGCTTACAGATTCTGAGACACCTTCTTTTCTTCTCTTTTACGCTCCTCCGCTTTCCATATTCTGTTTCCCTTCTGAGAATCCAATAATCAGTTATTATGTTGTCGTCCCATTATTCTTGGTATCGTTTCTCGAAGTCACGGACATTCTGGTGAAATCTTTTACCTTGTTCTTCACCATAGGCTTCTAAGTTTTCGGGAAAACTTGACGTGATGAAATTTTTTAAATATTTTTCCTGATTTCGTAAAAAATCTATAAAAACCAATCAAAAAATCCTATACACTTTTTTAGTTGCAGACCTGTGTTATCAGAAGAGTGAAAAGTTCTTTCGGAAAAATAGTAGTTTTTGCAACAAGAGTGGATAATATATGGACAATCCATTCCAGTTGTACAATATATTTTTTCTATGACCGATTAACAAAAATCTAAAAATTTAAAAAATAATTTTAGTTTATTAAGACAAAATAACTATTTTTAAAATTATTTATGACTTTTACTAATTTATAAAATAAAATAAACATAAAAAAATGACTAGTTCCCAGCCTAGATTTGAACCCGGGTGTCTCCTGACTGTCCTCACCTCCATCACCACTTTTAAGATTTTAGTTTTAATACTAGTAATCAAATTAGTTTCATATAGTTTGATTAAAATATATTTTTTTTTAAATGTGGACTAAATAACAATATTATTTATCGATTCTACACAAAAATAACTCATTTTAATGTATATTTAATCTCAATAACTAAAACATATACTGACAGTTAGTTTGACAGAATTGTAACTTATTTAAAATTTTAAAAATAATAGTAGTTGGGTGTCCAAAATATGAAGTGTGGTTGGTGAATTTCATTTTTTTGCAGTGTTCTCACTACCGAGAATGAATATGAAATATATCCGTTCAGTTGAAAGCAATAGCATACGTTTTGTAGCCTGTGCGTAGATAAGCTAATATCTGTGTGGGTGCATATTAACTATTCTACTCACAGACTCCAAAAGAAAAAGTATGCAATTGCGTTCAACTGAACGAATACTGTTTAATATCCATTCTACCTAGTAAAAACACTGCAAAAAAATGAAATCCATCAATCACATTTCATATTTTGGTTACCGCTATTATTTAAAAAAATTTTAAATAAGTGAAAATTCTATCAAACTAATTGTCAGTATATTTTTTAGTTATTGAGATTAAATATACATTAAAATGAATTATTCGTATGTAGAATATATAATAGCATTTCTATTATTATTATTTCGTCTATATTTACAAATAAACCATAAATTTTAATAAAACTATAAAATCAATTTAATTACGAGTATTAAAACTAAAATATAATGTGAAGCAAGGGAGCAGAGATTATGGCTTTAGGTGTCATGCAGAGGTTCCGGGTTCAATTTTGGGATTGGATACTAATGAAATCTTTTTTTTATGTTTATTTTATTATAAAAATTAGTAAGTCATAGATTATTTTTAAATAAGTTATTTTATTTTAATAATCTAAAATAATTTTTAGATTTTCGTTAGTGGCTCGTAGAAAAAATATACTGTACAACTTAAGTGGATTGTCCATATCGCACACAGACGATTGAGCACTCCGCCTAGGCATCGTGCTCAAACTGCGTCTTCGTGCGATATGCCCATCATATCGACACTTGTTGCACAAACTACTGTTATTGTACCATCAGGATTGTTTAACTTACGCGACTTCATGGGTGAATTTATTTTCTTTCGTGTCAATGTCTCTGCTCATAAACAGTTCTGGAGACGAGGATTTCTGTTTAAAAAAATTTTCGATTGTGATTTTCACTTGTTCCAAATCGTTGTTACACGCTATCAAGAACAAACATATCTGTTCCTCGGACATTTCCGGGAAATTCGGTTTGAATGACAGCCATTGTTTGATTTCTTCGATGTTCGATTGGGTTGTTCTACCCTCTTTTACTATGTCTTCAGCTTTGAAGTTATGTTTTGGAACTGCCGACATAGCTTAGGTAACCTATAAAGTAAACTAATTTAAAAATGTTATTCTTTCAAAGTACTGGTCCATTGCCACCTTTTCAGATCTATTGTGAAACTCCACTATTTAGAATTATCTGACTAGAACTAGAACTAGATTTAGAAGCCGTCGTCATTGCATGTATATGCTTTAGGCTGTTTGTTTTTGGGTTGATGAAATTTTGTTTTGGTTGTCTGTTTAAGGTATAGCGCTACATTTAGGCAGAAGTTTAGCCACCGAAAAAAAGGTGCAGATCTTTAAGTAGTAAATTCAAATGCTGGGCTTCTTCTGCTCAATATAGCTAGTTAACTAATACCTTGTAAAAATTATAAGAAAAAACAAATTGTCTGCAACATAAATTCTGCTGCTGAAGATCGGCGGTTCAACTTCTGCCTAATATAGCGCTAGCCTAACAGCTCCTGAGACTAATGGTTTTGCCAACATTTTAATTATCTGCTTACACTCACTCGAAAGGGGAGCAAGGAAGAATGGACGAACACTCTTCTACTCCTAGCAATAGAAAAGGATAAGCAGCATGGAAGATGTAACAGAGGATGTACGGCATTAGAAATCATAAAATTATTTAAATATCATACAAAATATATGCGAGATTTTGTAAATTGTCAAAATTCTATTAAACCGGGTTATGCCAAACTATATCCCCGCTGAAGGTTATTGGATGGTTTTTTGAAACTAATGAGAATATATTGCTCGTTGTGTCAAATAACCAAATGTTTCAAAGGAAAAATAGAGCTCTTACTCTTGCGAGTATTAGATTCAAATTACATTTTAGGTTCTTGGAATGCTGGCAACCATCAGTTGGGACTGCTTTTACAAAAGAAGTAAATTCCATCATGCAGATAATAAATTCAGCTCAAATTTTTTATATGCAATCGATGATAAGACCACCTTGAACTATTTTTATAAATTAGGACCAGTTATCAATTTAAAAAAATATTTTTTTTGGAAAAAAATTGAATTTTTCTGCGTAGGCTCTAAAAATTTATCACCAAATTTGTATTGGAAGATTTTGATTTAATACACTTACAACTTACTGATGAATAGCAAAAGCATCTGAAAACGTGAACGTTACAGAACATGCCATATCAAAAATTATAAAATCGATCATAGCCTACTCTTTGTGTGGGCAATTTTTTTTTCAAGAAACTTTCACGCCTTTTGGAAAAGTAGCTCTATATCGGAAAACTAAAAATAGTAGTGAGTACAAAAGTGACATAATACGTCAAAAAAACTTAAGTATTTTTTAAGGCGTCCAGTGAGAACCGGATATTGATATTTCAAATACATTTTGAGATACAAGTATTTAAAATAGGTTCAACTATACTTGGTCACCTTGTATCTTATTTAGGCAGTTTCAGGACATGATCCCTTGCACGATAAAAACAAAAAATGAATGAAGATAATGTGTTCCAAGATTTGATTGACTTAGAAAACTCACCTTAAGCAAAATTAAGCACCAAAATAACTAACAATTCGGCTCAAATTTTTTTCCGATTGAATCCCAATTATAATAAAATGCGATAATCTAAAAAAAACGACATCAACTAATAGCCATGCCAAACAAGCAACTACTATTGTTAATTCTCTAATTATAAATCTTCGATGGTAATTAAATCGAAAATAATTGTTAAGAGCTTATCGCAAAACACAAAATGATACTTTGCAATTTAATAGTTTAAAAGTAAGGACAATTTTTAATTGACAAACCGAGTAAAAGTACATTTTTTACAAGACCATGTATTTTTTTCTTATCGCTTTTCAAAAAGACATGTATTCACGGAAAAAATAATTAAAACTACACCAGTGTGTTTTTGCGCTAGTGGATACGAGGGCTAAGTTGGAAGTTGCTAATAATTAATAATTACGACCAATTATGCATCAACTTTACATAATTATGGGGTTGTTTTTTGACCGGATCTCTTGTGCCGGTAGAAGAAATAATAACCTGTAAAAAATACAGAGACATGCTAGAACTTATCTAAGGCTAGAACAGAGATTAAAAGCTGAATTAAGAAAAGTTTATTACCAATGGTCAAACAGTTTTTCAACAGGATTCGGCTCTATGTCCATATCAGTGTTTCATGTAATATTTCGAAAGTATCTTATGTGTCGTCCAAGATATTTTCTAAAAACAATTATCCAAAAACAGTTCTCAAAAATCATAAAAAAATATATTTATATTTACTCATTTTGGGAGAACCACCTTGCAGCCAGACATAGTTGCCAATGTTTGTTAGGCTCCTTGTTCATTAGAATACAAAAAAATCTGAAAAGTAAGAATTATACATTTATGGTTATTAATTATCGTTTTAGACCAGAGCATACTGGCGCATTCGTTTGCAAAATTGTTTTAATTCGTAATTTTTTTTTAAATGTCCGGAAGGCTTTCCTGATTATAAAAGTGTAAGATGACACTCGATATTTGTTGATGTTATTGTTAAAACAACGAAAAATTAATTAAGCCAGAAAAAATGCATTTTTTGCAATGAATAAATTTTTTTTATATTCTTTAAGATATTTCGAATAAAAAAAGTCCTTACGCCCATCATCGTATATTCAACCCTTTAATTGTTATGAATTTTTTAATATCCAAATGGACGAAAATTCTAAGTTTCTTGAATTAAATAATATACCTTAAAATTTAAAATGCTATAATTTTAAATTTTTTACCGAATATTCGAACTATAATAAACAAAATTATCTAAATAAATTTTTTAATTTTAAATATGTATCAGGTTTCGGACACTTCACTAACGCCTCGCCATGATCACAAAATAAACACTTTTTGTCGTCAGATAATTTAATTTTTTTTTGAATTAAAGAGAACGACATTATTACTCAGAAAATTACACGACTGCAAAGTAAACCAGTAGATGTAGAATCGAGCAAGACTGATGAACAACTGAAAAATAATTTTCAAAAATTCTAAGGTAGGGTTGAATTTTCTATTTTGGAGGTTGTAAAAATTGTTTATGACAGGACAAAAATAGAAGAAGAGTTAAACGTACAATTTTTTCAAAATACGAAATAAGTCTCTTCACCTATTTGTATTCATAGTGCAAAAGATTGAAAGTCATAAAAAATTTAGTATTTATAGTACTTACTTTCAATATTAAAAAAAAATGTTTTCCTTATTTTTGTTAAATGGAGAAAGGCTTGGATATTTTTGAAATCATAAAATTTTATAAGCCTACTATGTTCATTGTAAGAGGTTGAAATTTTTCACGGATCACGACAAGTGCATTAGGCCTTTTTATCGTATTGAAAAAAAAAGTTTGAAGATTTTATTTCTCAGGCAGTATCTGACAATAATTTTTTCATGAATAAAAATAAATGTTAAAAATAAATGTTTCTGTTAACTTTAATAAATAAAAAAGTTATCAAAAGTATCTAAAAAAGTAAAAAAAAATCACATGATACAAAACTATTAATCGGTAAATATAACAAAGTGTTATGAAAAATGTTAATAATAATTTTTTTAAACTTATTACCTCTGAAAAGCAGCAAAAAATTGATTCAGCGCGTCATCGGGCTTTCTCTTACCCATCTTATACATTGAGTTGGAAGTGAGATGGAAGTACTTCTCTCTAAAAGTACACGCGCGTAGGAAGCATATTGTTATAACGTAAAAAAAACATAACAACAAACAAAATTTTTAAAATTTATTTAGGTTATTTTGTTTATTATAGTTTGAATATTCGGTAAAAATTTAAAATTATAGCATTTTAAATTTTAAGGTATATTATTTAATTCAAGAAAATTAGAATTTTCGTCAATTTCGGATTTTAAAAAATTCATAACAATTAAAGGGTTAAAGATACGATGATGGGCGTAAGGGCTTTTTTTATTCGAAATATCCTAAAGAATATAAAAAAAATTAATTCATTGCAAAAAATGCATTTTTTCTGGCTTAATTAATTTTTCGTCAACAAATATTAACAAATATCGAGTGTCATCTTACACTTTTATAATCAGGAAAGCCTTCCGGACATTTTAAAAAAAGAAATCGCGAATTAAAACAATTTTGCAAACGAATGCGCCACTATGCCCTGCACTATTTGATTTTCGGAAAATAAATAATCCTCGGCTATCGTTTTCTAAAAAACGTATACGCTTTAGCAACATACGAGCTATTCGCTATTCTCGACATTCGTTTTAAAAGCGTGTACGCTTTTAAAACGGGTGTTTTACAGCGAGCGGAATTTTTCACACGTTTTTGATAAAACGTGCATGTTTTCAAGGATTTAGTAAATGTCACTTATATGTCACTTTTAGGACGATTAATAATATTGATTGATTTTAACAAATTCTAGGTAAACTACTTTTTATTAATACCTACAAAAGTATCTAATTTCTTATAAATATGGTTTGCTGTACTAAAGAAGTAGATTAGCTGAGAATTTCTATCAATTATATTATCAATAATTGTACAATTAGAAAACGATAAGAATCCTTAAAGATTCAGACTTGCAGAGGCAGAATCCAGTTTTTGATTTTAACTGATATTGAGTGAATATTTTTTATATAAGAATTTAATTATTAATTCATGTATGTTTTATTTACAAATGTTAATTTGCTTGCGGTTCAAAGCTCTTCTGTATCACACGTTGTGTCCAGAAATTTTTACAATTTTGTAAAATTGCCACAAAATATTAAAGAACAGAATAAGATAAGCAAAGTTATTAGTTAAATGAATTTTTTACCATAAAAACTAGGTTTTTATGACGTACGATTTTCCTAGAATTATAGGTTGCATTAACTGCACCCGTATAGCTATTTTTACGTCAACAATTAACGATTCAGATTATCCTGAACATCGATATATATTATGTGATTAGAAAAAATCATCGTTCGACAAATTTACAATTGGTTTGTTGTAATTAAATTACATATGCTGCGTTTGAGAATCCACATCGGATGCATTTTTTACATCTCGAGCGTTTTTTTATCCACATCGGACACATCTGTCCCATTACATTTACGTATACTGCATCACGTGATCAAAGATTTTTTACATCTCAGATGCATCCGATGTGGATTCTCAAACGCAGCAAATATCCTTATTGTTTTATGGCCTGCACATTACTTGAATTCAACGATATAGACAGTTTACAGTGATGCCAGACATATTATTTGCTTGTTAAAAACGTACACGTCTTAAAAAACGAATACTCATCGAACGTCAGTCAAGAATATAGATTTCAAAAACTACTCGCTTTTCAACCACTCACTTTCGAAAACGGTTCGTTTTTTTAGCGATTGTCGAGGATAGCCGCCCTGGCAGAAACAAGGGGTAGTCATGAATTGTGTTTACTTGCCCAGAGTGGCCAATGTAAAAGAAGGGTCTGCTAACTATACCGCAATTTGACTAGAGGCTTTACAATATTTTTAAATTATTTAAAGGATATGCCCATAATCTTTAAGTTATTTTGATTAAATATTTTTAATATTCATTCAAGTGGAGAGTGCGTGTCATTATTAGTACCTACTGTGGAATGATATTCTAACTGTAAGAACACAGTGCATACCTTTAAAAAATCTCTTATTAGTATATTTTTTAACAAGGTTCCGCGAATCAAGCGCAATATAAATATCCTGCATATAGGTACTGTTACAAAAAGGACGCGAAGTTCTCTACAATTTGATCCCATGCAATAGCTAAGACGCCATCGTAATATATTGTAGATAGCAGAGTTTCTTTTATTATTAATATAATTTTAAAGATACTTGGGATTCATATTACTTGATTAATCTACATTTCATTTGTTTATTTGAAATTAAAGCTGTTTCTTAGTGATGCCGCGAGACAAGACGAGACGAGAGAGTGGCCTCTCTCGTCTCGTCTCGTAGGGCGAGAGAAAACTGTTCTCTCGTCTCGACGATAAGGCGCTTTTCTCGCTCGAGAGAGCTTTTCTCTCGTCTTGTCTCGTCTCGTTTCTCTCGTGAAAAAACAATATCAAATTTAAATTTGAAAAAGACGAAACATGAAAAACGGTAAAATTTGTAAAACAAAAACAAAGAATTTTTCAAGTAATTTGCGCATTAGTACCTAAATTTGGCAATAAGGAACACTTATGTCTCTTTGTCTGTCCGTCTGTCACAGTCGATTTACAATTGAAATTTGAAGTAATAAGTGGCCCAGATTAGGCGTTAACTAAAAACGAAAATACTTTGTCTTGTAGGTCAGTTGGGGAGGGGGGGGGGGGGGAAGAGGTTAAATTGGAAGTTATAATTTTTCTAATGCCAGAAGATAGAGACATAAAACAAAAACGATGTGAAATTAGAGAAACATTAAGATATTTTTGTTATAATGAGATGCACTATAGAGGGCGTTACTATCTTTAAATTTTCTAATGGAAAGTAAAATCATGTAATACCTCACTTGAAAGATATTTTGATTATATTTACATCTAAGCAAACAGTTTTAATTTTTTTGTTTTTACAAAAATTACATTCTTGATAATCCTCGTGTACCGCAATAATCCTAGAAATGTTAGATAATGTTAGAAGATAATTTTTTAATAAGCTTTTTTTTGCTAAGAAGTTATGAAAAATTTAATACGTCAAGTGGTTTTTAAATCACCTTTGATATTCTTAATTTATTTATTTTAGTAAATACGAGAAGCGTTTTTTAGTAATAAACAATAATTGTTAATACGAGAGTTAACAAGAATATAACTTATGAGCCCAGAACATGTCTGTATAAGAACAAAG